TGTGCACGCCGACTGAGGTTCTAGAATGCTGCGAAGCTGTTCGACTTTAACAGAAAAAGAAAGCCAGCAGTCTCTTCGTCGCATCGATTTGGTCGATTGAAGCTGATATTGCGACGCCCTGGTGTCAACTATGACTTGATGAGTGAAGCATTTTCTGTGATTGATTGGCAATTTTTGGATGACGAACGAGATCTGGATGACATCGTTGAGTCGTTCAACTCTGAGATACGTCGTGTTATCGAAGCTCACGTGCCACTTCAGCGTCCTACTCTGAAACCTCCATGGACAAACAATCGGCTTCGTAGATTGAAGCGCCGTCGACGTACTGCTCTTCGGAAATTCAAACGTAATCGATCACAACACCTGAAACGTCGTTTTGTTCTGGCCAGCAATAAATACACTAGCTTTAACCGCGAAATGTATGCTCGTTATATAGACCGTACGCAGAGAAATCTACGCCTGCATCCCAAACGTTTCTGGTCATTTGTTCGGTCGAAGCGTAAGGAAAATGGGTTACCTTCGTCTATGTATCTCGGTGCCCGCTCTGCTAGCACAGATGCCCACAAGTGTGAGCTGTTTGCTGATCACTTCAAGAGTGCCTTCTCGGACATGTCGATTTCGTCCTCGCATCTAAATGCAGCCATCCATGACACACCATCAGATAGGCTCGACTTTGGAATTTTCCAAATCACTGAGGAGCACGTACAAAAAGCGATACGTAAACTTAAACATTCTGCGTCATACGGTTCGGATGGTATTCCTGCATGCATTCTTAAGAATTGCTCAAGTGTCTTATTGATGCCGCTAGTGAAATTGTTTAATATTTCATTACAGCGAATGACATTCCCATCCGCGTGGAAGACTTCGGTCATGATTCCTATTCACAAAAAGGGGGACAAGTGTGATATTTCCAATTACCGCGGGATAACGTCGTTGAATGCTTGCTCCAAACTCTTTGAGATAATCGTGAACGATGCCTTGTTCGAAGCTAGCAAGAATTACATCTCTAGTGCCCAGCATGGATTTTTTCCAAAAAGATCTGTGACAACGAACCTCACTCAATTCACTTCATTGTGCATTCGATCGATGGACGCTGGCATGCAAGTAGATGCTATATACACTGATTTCAAAGCTGCATTCGACCGAGTGAACCATGCTATTCTGCTTCGAAAACTCGAGAAATTTGGAGTATCCGTCGCCTTTGTTCGTTGGTTCGAATCATACCTGTCAGGACGGTCTATGAAAGTTAAATTAGGCTCCTCACATTCAACCGCCTTCCCGATTGTATCCGGAGTTCCACAAGGGAGCAACCTAGGCCCCCTATTGTTTTCGCTTTTCATTAATGATGCATCGTTTGTTTTACCATCTGGAAATCGTGTTTTCTACGCCGATGATGTTAAGATTTACATGGTAATCACATGCATCGAGGACTGTGCCTACCTGCAGAGTTTGTTGGAGTCATTTGAGGATTGGAGCAAACGGAACTTACTGGAACTGTGTGTAACGAAATGCAACACTATTTCGTTTTCCAGAAAACGTCATCCGATCATCTTCCACTATCGTCTTGCTGGTCATGATCTAGAACGGCTGAATCAGGTTAGAGACCTTGGTGTGTTATTGGACTCTGAACTTAACCTCCGGACACATTATGCTGATGTGATTTCAAAAGCGAATAGGCAGCTTGGATTTATCTTTAAACTTGCCGATGGATTCCGTGACCCTCTGTGTCTGAAATCACTGTACTGCGCCTTGGTTCGCTCGATCCTTGAATCTGCTGTAATAGTTTGGTGTCCGTACAGCAGTATATGGGTTGACCGTATAGAATCGGTTCAAAGAAAATTTGTGCGCCTAGCTCTTCGTTATCTACCTTGGCGTGAACATCTAAATCTACCTCCCTACGAACATCGATGCATGCTGTTAGGAATTGAAACACTGGAGAAACGAAGGTCTGACATGCAAGCGGTTTTTGTCGCCAAAGTATTAACTAGTGAGGTGGATGCACCTGCCATTCTTGCCGATATCAACGTTTATGTACCTGAACGCCCCCTTCGTCGGCGTAACTTCCTGCATTTGGCATCCCGCAACAGTCGATACGGGCAACACGACCCAATACGGTTCATGGCCTCTCGCTTCAATGATGTATCTGAGCTTTTCGACTTTGAAGCTTCCGCAGCTACTTTTCAACGCCGCCTAAGTAATCGATTGTAAAGCTGTTATGTGCATGGATTGATTATGAGCAGGTGAGTGACTGTCCATCCCCTGATGACTGTATGAATTGTGCTACCTGTTTTCATTTTTGTTTCCGGTTGCTTTCGACCCTTCCACGAGGACTTGACAATCAATGACGATGCTGCACTGTTGCTGACACACTTTTATGACACTGACCGCATTTTAACGTTTTTAATTTACACTGTAGTAATTATTGTATTTTGCATTGTTTTTGCTGTGAACTGTGTAATTGTTAATGTTTAGTTTCTGTTTCTATGTACTTAATTTAAGAAAAGAAACAGGGTTTTTATGCCAATTTGAGTTCACCATGACTCAATTTGGCTTTTCCCTGTCCAACTTCATTAAGACAACCTTGTCAGATGGAGGAATACAAATAAACAAATAAACAAAAAAAAAAAACTTCCGTTAATGGATTCTTGAAATCATATGGGAGGTGCTTCATTTTGAAAAATTAAATAGTGTTTTTAAATTTCAATATCATACTTCAGCGTACAATGTTTTGAAATCTGTATCATCAAGCCGCAATTCAAGATGGCCGCCTGAGGCCGTATTCTATTGACCACTTTGTCAAGCACTTTTGGCGCAGCAGCGATTCCACAAAACTGGACCAACTAATTTCTATTTTTTTTATGAAACGCACAAATCATGGCTACTTTTCCCGGGGTTCTAGAAGAAAAAATTTCAAAATAATGTTTTATTTCCAAGTTTGAGTGGTAGTAAACGTCATTTTAACTGCTCGAATGAAGTGGTTAATTGACCTTTTGCTAACTGTTCATCTACCCCTCCATTATTTGTAATATACTGGCGCCACTGTCATCACCAGCCAGCAAACGAGACCGAACAAAGCAATTCATAACATTTTTTTTTTCTATCTCATTCGGCTATGTGTGCAATTCATTTTCAGGGAAAAATATTTGAGGCTCTCGTTTCAAGTGTTCTGCATAAGCAAGCAAGAACGAGCAGGGGGGTTTGGATTTGTGAGCAAAGAGGGATAAATTTAATTGAGTGTTCGAAAGGAGTAACATTCACGATTGATGGGTATGTGTTGATTTTTTATAAGGATTTATTGAAACTTGTTTTATACGAATAGTATGAAAATTCAATCCAGAGTATCACTGAAAGTGCTCAGTGGATAAGATTATCTAACTTCGATAAACGTGATTAAGAATATAACGCATCGGTAGGATTCAGTTTCAATCATTTGAACGTTTAAAGCAGGTAACATTGTTTTCGTACATACATAATACCACGCAAGGATGGCTAAACATTCATGCCAAACTTTTCCACTTGCAATCTCGGCAAACTGCTAAAGGAGTTCGCCTTTTGAAGCATCATGAATATTCATGCACAATGTTCCTCTTCCTTAGAAAACCATGCAAGGCCAACGCCAGGGCGGTCTATGGGAAGTGTAATAAATTTTTACCTTAAACTTAATCAAACTAGATTCCTCCCCAACGGAAGCGGAGGTGGAAAAGGATGCTTTTCTTAGCTTCATATCCAGTTGCCTGTGTATCGCAAAACCGTAGACAGTGTTTTGTTTTTTTCCTAATCATAGGGTAGAGCGTTACTTCGTCGTAATCACCTATTTTCGTTCTATCGAATAGAAAACATCAATATTATTAATTATTTCTGCGTACACAAACCAATAATACGAGTTGTTCGATACTTTCCAAAGCTACAACATAAAGCCTATTAGAGCAAACAGTTCGAATATTTACACCCTCAGTTATATCGAATCAATTTTGTTCTCACTTAATGATGTAACAAATCCAACGGATGAAATTGAAACTCGATGAAAATTTTTTGACAAAATATAAAGAATTTCTAATTATTTCTAAAGGTAAAAAACGGCCCGTATGGTAAGGTAATGTAGGGGCCTCATAGCCTAGTCAGTAAAGGCACGGTATTACCAAGCCGGAGGCGGCGGGTTCGATTCCCAGTCCGGTCGAGGGAATCTTTCGGGTTGGAAATTTTCTCGACTTTCCTGGGCATAGAGTATCATTGTGCTTGCCACACAATTTGCCACACAATACACAAATTCATGCATTGGTTTTGGCATCGAAAGTTCTCAATTAATAACTGTGGAAGTGCATTTAGAACACTAAGTTGAGAGCACACAATAAGCTAATATGCGCTAAGCAATAAGCTTGAAATGCAAACAAGAAGAAGAAGAATGGTAAGGTAATGTGAATTAAAAGTCTTCTATAGTAGTATCCTTTTCTGATCAATTTCGTTCGAACAAGAGGGGTAAACTGCGAGTTGTGCTTAGTAGGACGGAAATGAGATCAAACTCAGCACAAACCGGTGCTGCAAGCTTAACCTTAAAAGTTTAAAAGTGGAAGCTACACACTTAGAAATACCTAATTTTACACGTGACGGAATCCATCTTTGACATAAAGGATGAGACGTAAACAAACATGTCATGTAAAATTAAGTGCTCCGAGACTGAAAAGTTCGGTACGCGACGAAAAGTACGTTTGATTGAGCTGAGTCTTGCGTCTATTACGACTCAATTTTATGTCAAAAATGACGCTCGTATATGTCAGTCTCAGAGCACCTAAATTTACATGATTTTTTTTAAGTGTGTAATTTGAATGTTATTACAGGCATCAGCTTGCCGTTCTCGGAGGTTACTGGTTAGACTGCACGTGTTCTGATTTCAAGATTGGATGAATTTCATGTTAGAGTTACAGTTGAAGAGTGTGTTCGAAAAATAAATCCATCATCTTTCATATTAATTATAACACCTTTTTCGTTTCGTTTCATTCCAGGTCGTACTACTGTGACTGCTATCCGGGGTTTAGTGGAATCGATTGCGGCTACGGGCCACTCTGCAAGGATTCGCACATCTGTGAGAACGGAGGTACATGCAAGTAAGTTCGGCTTAACCTCTGTATTTAATGAGATTTGCAATCGAATTCAATGATCACCCAAATTCGCTCACATTCCCGTTTGTTTTATCATTTCGGTTGTGAACAATTATATATAATATCTCCTAGTGGGAAATCCTTGAACTTCTAGAATATACTTTTATTGTTACTGGAATTTTTAACTTATTTTTTTTTGTTTTTGACAAAAATTGGGGATTTTTTTTTAGGTGTGTATTATTTTTCAAATTCGATCCCATTTCCTACAATTTTGTCTTCAACGTTATTTTGATTGGATGAACCATTTGAACAGTTATTTTTGAAAAAAATGAATGTCAAAGAATGGCCGAGTTGCAACACAAACGTGGTTCATTGCCCCCAGTGAATAATTTTGCGAAGTTTCATAGAATTTTGCGAGGTAAATTCTTTTTACTTTTTCGCTATTTGACATGTTCTGCTTGATTAGGAGTTTAATAAGTTTCTTAAAGCTATTTTCCATGTAATTTGAATTTAAAACGGTGTCTATAATATACCAACTCTCTTAGTGAGAAATACTTGAAGTTATGTATTGTTCTTGCTCTATTTCCAGGTGAAATCTGCCAGAAGGGGTCAAAATCTGGTACAACTCTGTCCGATTTGAATTATACTTTCAAAATGTTTTCAGCATTAAAGATTATGATTTTTCCGCATATCACGAGACCATTTTGACTGAAGACTAATTTGTGAAAAAGGCGTATGGTAGCGTAATGGTAGAAGAATTTTTTGAAAAAAATCATGTAAGAAAACACATACGCCCTTTTCAAAATAAGTCTTGACTCAAAATGTTCTCGTGCTCTGTGGAAAAATCAAAATCTGCAACATGTTGAAAGTTTTATCAAAATCGGAGGGGCTCGTACCAAGTCGTTTGCTCATTTGACAGGGAATTGCTCTATTAGAGTTTAAAGATATTTAAAATGAAGTTTTAATTTTTTAACAATTAGCTTTAAAATTTTTGATTTTTTTTTTTAATTTTATCCAGTTTGCTACAACTTTGTCTCAGGCGTCATTTTCATTAGATAAGCCGTTATTGGAAAATATCGAATATGTCATTTTGGAATAAATAGACGAGGGTCAAAATGGCCGCGTTCCAACTCAAACTTTGCTCATTGTCCGTACACTGCAACTGAAAGTACCCATTAATTGGTACAATTTCACCCATTTTGAAGTAGAGTAGGTTAACCCATTTAATGGGTAAAAAAATTAGCCACTCATGGGTAACTGGTTCCCATAAATAAGTAATTGCTAACTATTAGTAGGTAAATAAGTTTCTTTGAACAAGTCGAAAAATCCTTAAACTTTTGTAAAATCGACAGTTTCGAGAACTAGTCAGAAGAACGGTAAACTAGTCAGAAGATCCTTGACCTAGCCAGATGTTCTGTGAAATAATGTGGCAACCTTTGAACTTTTTGGAAAATCTTTGACTTTGTCCGAAGATCCCTTAGCTTATCGGAAAACCTTCGAAAGTTCCGAGAGCTTGTCGATAGTTCTGTGAATAGTAGTAAATTCCGTGAATTAGTGGAAGTTCGTGATCTTGCTGGAAGTTTCACGAACCAGTTGGAAGATCTTTTAGCTTATCGGTAGTTCCATGAGCTCATTAGCAGTTCTCCAAAGTTCTCGGAAGTTCTCGGAAGTTCTCTGAACTTGTTGGAGGTTCTCCGACCTTGTCGGAAGTTCTCCGAACTTGTCGGAAGTTCTCCAAACTTGTCGGAAGCTCTCCGAACTTGTCGGAAGTTTTCCGAACTTTTCGAAAGTTTTCCAAACTTTTCGGAGGCTCTTTGAACTTGTCAGAAGCTCTGCAAACTTGTCGGAAGTTCTCCGAACTTTTTTGGAAGTTCTTCGAACTTGTCGGAAGTTCTCCGAACTTGTCGGAAGTTCTCCGAACTTGTCGGAAGTTCTCCGAACTTGTCGGAAGTTCTCCGAACTTGTCGGAAGTTCTCCGAATTTGTCGGAAGTTCTCCGAACTTGTCGGAAACTCTCCGAACTTGTCGGAAGTTCTCCGAACTTGTCGGAAGTTCTCCGAACTTGTCGGAAGTTCTCCGAACTTGTCGGAAGTTCTCCGAACTTGTCGGAAATTCTCCGAACTTGTCGGAAGTTCTCCGAACTTGTCGGAAGTTCTCCGATCTTGTCCGAAGTCCTCCAAACTTGTCGGAAGTTCTCCGAACTTGTCTGAAGTTCTCCGAACTTGTCTGAAGTTCTCCGAACTTGTCGAAAGTTCTCCGAACTTATCGGAAGTTCTCCGAACTTATCGGAAGTTCTCCAAACTTCTCGGAAGTTCTCCGAACTTCTCGGAAGTTCTCCGAACTTCTCGGAAGTTCTCCGAACTTGTCGGAAGTTCTCCGAACTTCTCGGAAGTTCTCCGAACTTGGCGGAAGTTCTCAAAACTTGTCGGAAGTTCTCCGATCTTGTCCAAAGTTCCCGATCTTGTCCAAAGTTCTCCGAACTTGTCGGAAGTTTTCCGAACTTGTCGGAAGTTCTCCAAACTTGTCTGAAGTTCTCCGAACTTGTTGAGCTTGTCGGAAGTTTTCCGATCTTATCCAAAATTCTCCGAACTTGTCAGAAGTTTTCCGAACTTGTCTGAAGTTCTTCAAACTTGTTGAAAGTCCTCCGAACTTATCAGATGTTCTCGGAACTTGTCGGAAGTTCTCGGAACTTGTTTGAAGATCTGTTGTTAATACTACTTCCGAGAAATTTATAATATTCTGACCGGTATATGATGGGGTCTGCCTAAGCTCAGTTGCTAAAGGCGCAGCTACAAGACAAGACCATGCTAGAGGCAGCAGGGTTCGATTTCCGATCTGGTCTAGGAAGTTTTTGTGTTGGAAAATTTCTCTACTTCCCTGAGCATAGAGTATGATTGTACTTGCCACACAATTATACTTATGCAATAATGGTAAATGCATCGAATACTCTTAATTAATAACTGTGGAAGTGTACCTAGAACACTAAATTGAGCGCATGCAATAAGCTAAAAATGTGATAAGCAATAAGCTTCAAACACGAGGAAGAAAGATAAGTCAATGAAACTTCCAACAAGTAGACGGAACATCCAACACGTTCATGGAACTTCCGAAAAGTTCATATATCTTTTGACTAGTTCACGTTTGAAAAGTTCACGAACATTTTCAGGGAGTGCCAAGGATGCGTGAAGAAAGCTACCTCTAATGTCCCTGAAGTTCCTTCAAAAAATACTAGAAGTTCTCTTGAAATTTGCTTGAAGTTGGCTCGTAACATTTGAAAAGTTCCTTCGAAAAGATATACAAAAGTTTTCTTGGAACTTCCCACAAGTTCCCCACAGATTTTTTTATATCTTTATTAAGGAGTCTTTCAGCCCTGGGTTGGTTTGTCTCCCCCACAGATTTTCATACAAGCTCTCCTTAAGCTTCCAAGAAGTTTCCCCGGAAATTTTAAAAGGTGACCATGAAACGTCCCAGAACTTCCCGTGAAACTTCTCAAAAGATCCTTTGAAGCTTGTAAAGTATCCTCAAAACATTCCAAAAGATCCCCAGATACTATTCAGAGCTTTGCTCAAAACGTTCCACAAGTTCTCTCGTAACTGTCCAAAAGTTTAGGCCAAACAAACTTCAAGGGAGTTCCGAGGGAACATAAAAAAATTCCTCGGGAACCTCTGAAAGGTTTCCCTCAAAACTGCCATTAAGTTTCCTCGAAACTTTTGGGATGTTCCCTAGGAATTTCTGTGACGTTCCCACGAAATTTCTGTAAAGTTTCTTAAGATTTTCCCTGAGGTTACATCAGAACTCCCATGAAATTCCCTCATAATCTCTATGAAGTTCTATAAAAACTTCCCTGGAGTTCCCTTGGAACTTCTCTAAAACTAGCTCAAAACATCCCCAAAGCTCCCTCAAAATTTCCCCGATGTGCCCTTGAAACAGCCTCGACGTTCCCTCAAAACCTCCCTGAAGCTCATCAAAAACTCCCTGAAAAAGAACGAATGCATAACCGTTCCCTGCCAAACCGGTGCCTGACGTGGACAGTGCCAGGCAGTGCTGCTGCACAAGCACAAAAAAACACTGCAGGCCACTCCCGGCACTGTAGGAAGGCTTCCGGAACATGGCTCCATCTAACTCAGAAAGTTTGCAAAATGCCGCCTCCACAGATGCCTTTAAGTAGATCCCAGGTGAACAGACAACTTCGAACGAACAACCCTCAACCACCTCCCTCTTGCACAAAGGATCACAGGGATCAAACGAAGACCATCATAATCTCGTCCTCAGCGTGGACACGACGACCACCGAATCCTGATCCCGTCGTTGATGTAAGCAACCGGGGCCACCACCCTGATGCGAGGCACCACAGTCTCTGGACAATCACTTCCTTCGTATGCTCTCGCTGACAAGACGCTTGGAAATTGACGACCACCTCATCGCGAACCGAGTTGTGAACGGTGCCCACAAGAACCAGCCGGACAGAATCGCGCAAGAAAATCCCACGAAAATCTGCCAACAAATACAAAGAAAACTAGAGAAACCTGCTGAGTCCACAACATGAATGTGAATCCTTGAAAATATGGCATAGGGCACCTTCAGGCAGCCCCGAACAAGCTTTAAAGTTTTGAAGATCCGAGGGAACTTCTAGGAAGTTTCTCTCGGAAGCTCTCTCAGCACTTCCTTATATTTCCTCGGAACCCCCCAGTAATTCCTGTGAAACTCCTATGAAGTCCCCTGAAAACTTCATTTCCCTCGAAACTTTTCATTAGTTCCCTTGGAGCCCATCACAACTTCCTCTAGATATCTAGATCAGATCCTCTCTAGATGCTCCCCCAAAACCTCCCCCTGCTACCCTAGAAATTCTCTCGGTACCCTTGGAAGATCGCTGGAAACCTCCCTGAAGCTTCCTCGAATCCCACATGAAACAACCTCTGAACATATCTGAACCCCTCGGGCACTCCATGAACTTCTTCGATGACTCCACGGAACCTCTTTTTTTTTCCTTGATTTGTTTTCCGTCGATCTTGTTTTCCGTGCTGAGCACCAATGCTACCGACGCCAGGGGGGCAGCTCCCACACCTAGACCCTATCGACCCATCAACTCATGAACCGGGGACCAACGGCTTTACTTCCCTTCCGAAGGAAAGCGTGATCAGAGATGTTATGTCGGCGGCGCCGAGTGGGATTGAGCTCAGGCCTGCTGTTATGAGAGGTAATCACGCTTTCCACTACACCACCGGCAACGCTGATCCTCGGAACCTCGTTGAAGCTCTCTCGGATCTAACCCCAAGCCTCCGTGCATGCTAGAGTTGTTCATCCTGTTTTACCGAATCTGGTTTTACCCAATCCTGATGAATGTAGGCGTCTTAGGGGAATACCTTTATAGAGAGAGAAGGATTAGTAATTTCCACTTAATTCCACTTACCGGTAATATCGTGCAATTCTACAATACTAATTACAGTCCTGCATTGGAATTTAAATATGCATGAAAGGTCAGATCATACCATAGGTGAATGAATCCAAGATGTTGATGCAAAAGTATTCCCCGAACTTCTCTCTCGGAAGATACCTTCATTTTCAGAATCACCGACTAACAACAATTTATGAAGATATATAACTTTAAGATACTCATCAAAAATTAACAACCCCATCAAACGTAAATAATCCATAAAGTTGCAACGTTTGTTCCGACTTGATCTCAATTTTCTTTATTCTTCTTGTTTCATTGTTATTTTTCAGGCACATCGGGGACAATGCCGTTACCTGCATCTGCCCCACCGGCTTCAAGGGTAACAAATGCGAGATCAGCGAGTACGATGAAATCACAGGTAATTGCGCCATTCTTCGTTCATCATCATCATCATCATCATCATCATCGTCGTCATCATTCCTGACTGTCTGCCAAGCAATCCTTTTCTTGGTGCGAACACTTTTTGTTTGCTCTCAACTCTGTGACGGATGGAAACGACTTTCCGAAGCGTGTGATTCTAAATCCTTCGGTTCGATAGCTTTTTCAATCGACCTACCTGTCTACCGTGAGAAACCGTACTCCCTGGGCACCATTATCGGAGTGAGGAGGTGGGTTCACTTCTTGCTTGATCTACTGTTGTCTCTTCTAATTAATTAGCAATCACTCCCGCTGCTGCCGTAAACAATCTAACTGATGAATATTTGATAAAGCGTTAATTGAAAATGGTAAAGCCAACATGTTCTCGCTTGAACGAGAAACATTGTGGAATGGAATTAAGGTCGGTTTGACGTACAAGACAATTAGGAAACCATTTCTGACATGAAGAAGTGAATTCTTTGAAATTGACTGCTCCTTTAAAGAGGTGATGGAAGATTTAAAGACATTGTTGACAACAACATTTAACTACCTTTCCGAAAAACCGCTGCCGCACGGACACGGCTCAGCACAGCACCAGATTGATTCTTATCTTTAATTAAATCAAGCCTGATCTCGTCCCGAGCGGCTGTAAGGCATCTCATCGGATATTTTTTGCGTTCCCAGAAGCTCTAGAACTCCAGCACCTGTCTGGAGCAGTCTTGCAAAACAGTCTTTCAACTATGCCTTCATCTGGTTCGGATGAGAAGAGCTGCTACACCGGGGTATTAAATTTCAGGAAATTTCCCAAACAGATCTCCTCACAATCGCAACGAAGCTTACACGAGGGCATGGAAAATTCGCGCTTTCCAAAGCGGCCGGTGCCTCCAGATGTGGCGATGTATACTAGACTTATTAAATGTGAAGGAGGGTAGATCGCTAGGTGTAGGTACGGTGAAGGCTCACTGATTGTGCGACTTCAAAGTCGACGACGACGTGTTGGCGTGTATCTGATGTCTGGTAATTTTGAGGTAAATTTGAACACTGGCGTAACCCAGATGGCACTACTGTTGGGTTCCGGATTCATGGTAAAGTAGCGTCAATTGCTGCCGCTTTTGGCAGCCGGTGTTTCTGTGCTGGAAGCGAACCTTTGATATCGAACCACAAGAGGTCACAGTGTCATGTAGGAAGATGAACAGAAGCAGGAGAAATCAATAAAGTTTATTCCTTTGATCGAACGGATGACTGCAATTTGGGATAATTTTACTTTGGTAATGGGATTACGAAAGGTTGAAATTGTTATGCTTCGGGCATAGAGAAACCGGTTCCTGTAAATTTCTATTGTTTATTGAAAAAGGGCAGATGAATCTGAGATGTAAACTTATATCATACGCATGCTGAGAAAAGGTATCACACTGGTAAAACGATTTAAACAAAGGTAACTGGTTGACCACGAATTTGTAACTTTTTCTAGGGAACTCTGTATCAGGTTAGAATTTATGGCTATGACTATTCAACACACACTAGGCACTTCGATAAGCGTTTAAAATACTGTTTATCACTTAAAATTTTTCGGTAAATAAACAGGCGCAAAAGAGGTTCAAAACGATCTAAAAAGGATCTAGATACATTCCACGTGATGTAACACACAGATTCTTGGCGCATGGCTACTCTTCTAGATTAAAACTTAATTATTAACTTCATAATATGAAACAGTAAAACATATTATCTTCCATTTAATTCCACTTAATTAATTTTTTATCTATGACAAATATGTATTTTGACTAGCATTGGGCGATTCTGAGGCAAGAATCGATGTTAGTGAATCGATTTATTTCTTTGAATCGTTTCAACTGATTCAATCAATCATTTTGAATCGATCTTTTGAATCGATTCAATTTTCAAAAAGGAACAAAAATGTTTAAAAAATAACGGATGTAAAAGTTGGTGCAGATTAACGCCAAGTTCAGTCTAAAGTTAATATTACGTTACATAAGCTATCTTGTTATGACATTTCAAGCTGGGCAGTTTTGGCGTGGGGACATACACTTCCAATGAATTTTACCAATACATTTAGAAAATGATGATGGAAAAATATTTAAAAAAGAAGAAGTAAACAAGATAATGACCCTTTGTAGAACCTTAACTTGTCGGTGGGATTTTTCTGAGGCATAAAAATCTCTGGTCACGTCTTCCTTCGGAAGGGAAGTAAAGCCGTTGGTCCCGGCCCATGTGTGTTTGAATGGGTGCGATATCCTACGCAGGTGTGGAAGTTGCCTTCCTGCACATTCGGTTGCCGTCAATGGATGGCAATCGATGTCCGTCGGTGATTGGCACTAGATTGCGGAACAGAGACCGACGTTAAATAAAGGAATGAAGAAGAAGAAGAAGAAGAAGAAGAAGAAGAAGAAGAAGAAGAGATGATAGTCCACCTATAGTGTCGCTATAGGCGGCTACTTCCTCTGCTGACTGCGGTTGCCTTGGGCACTGAACTTCGTCCACGGTAGGTACAGGTCGGACTCGATTATCCGGAGACTTGATTATCCGGAGTCTCGATTATCCGGGGTTCGATTATCCGGAATTTTAGACTCGATTATCCGGAGTATTTTTTTTTGCGTTTTTTTTTTAGTTTTTATCAGACATTTGAAATAATTTAGTATCATAATATACAATATGATAACAGGTCGAACTCGATTATCTGGAGACTCGATTATGCGGAGACTCGATTATCCGGGACTCGATTATCCGGAATTTTAGACTCGATTATCCGGAGTATTTTTTTTAGTTAAAGACTAATAAAATAATAATTATAATATAATAAAATGCAGACATTTGAAATAATTTTGTATTATAATATGCAATATGATTATTTTAACAATCGTTAATTAATTTTTATTTTTTTTTCTTGTGATTCGATTATCCGGAGGATTTGATTATCCGGAGGATTTGATTATCCGGAGTGAAAAAAAAAATCGATACTCCGGATAATCGAGTCCGACCTGTAAAACGTGCGATATAAAAAAAACCATTATAGTGGGGAAAAAAAACTCCACCGGCTACGAAACCAATACCCGCAACGGAGACACGAACAAACTACGTCCGGCTACTTCAAGCTATCGGCGAGGAATGAGAAGGATTAGTAATTTCCAATTAATTCCACTACCTTATTTGCTTATCCTTGACAGATACGCGACAGATATTCTAATGCTCAGTAGATAACTTCTATGCACAAAAAAGCATAACCAGACCTTAGCCTAAGTGGTAAGTGAGGTGAAACTGGTCTAATGGCAGCAGCGCTCCTTCCCCCGGATGATCTTCGTAACTATTCCACTAGTTACAGTTGAGACAGGCCAGAAAAATAGAAGATGATGTGATAAAGATATTGTTGATTCCCTTATGCCATAGATTTTTTCAATGACATTCTTAACTTCAACAAATATGAAACTATTCATACCCATGCAATTTTTCGTCAGTGTGCACCGTTAGCAGCTTTTATTGCCATCGGATTTATGACTTCAATCAAGTGCAAGAAAAGACGAAAGGAAAAATTATATCGAGTACCTATACCTACCTACACCTACAGATTTAACAAACACCCATCACCGAACAAATCCATCATTCCTGCCGACAACAACAAGGATAAAACTCGTAAAATGCTTTGGCTAAATTTTGTTTTGTGGGTTGTATATTTGTTCGATGGTTGGCGTTCAATAATTTCCGATCGAGTCCGTCGTCGTCGTCGTCGTCGTCGTCAGTTCAAGGGTCTTATTTCCTTTGCTTCCGTTTTCGCACAATCAAGATTCAACTTCTACTACTTTTTTGTCGTCGTTTGGGATCAGAAAGCCATTTCGCTGAGTTGTACATATACAACTTTAGCCGGGCGATGAAGGTTGTTGAAAAGTTTCGTAACTTTTGACGATGGATAATGCAGGAAATGGAGACAAAATCAAAAAAAAAATGTTGACGAGAAACGATTGCTCTCAAGTACTACCGATCGAGCAGCTCAATAGCATTATAATGAAAAATTTATGACCATCATCGCATGCTGGTCAGAGGCGGCAAATCAGGTTCGATTGATGGCTGCAGCCAGTCTACAGGTTGTAAACCATTTGGTGACACAAGTCCACTCGATAGTAGAATTTTCGAGGTGGAGTTCCGAGACTAATTTTGATTTTATTGTGTTTTATTGCTCTTTTAGATTCCTGGAATGAGCAACTGGTTGAAATTAATGGTTGTTTTTTTTTACAGAATTTTACAAAGTGCAGTTGTTATTTAGGAACTGAATTCTCTCGTATCTAGTATTAAGGCATTCAATTTTCGTCTACAAATCTATTAAGTGCAGAGAGCAATTCAATGACAAATAAGCAAAACAGCCAGCGAAACCCTCTCCGTTTGGGAGATTATATATTTTCTACAGGTCTTGCGACCATGTCTACTCATGGACAGAGCTGCCAGGTGGTTTTATAAAAAATCTGTATCCACTCTATTAAAAAATCTGTATTTTCTGTATTGACGATTTTTTTCCTAATTAATCATGTTTTGTTGTTTTACAAATACAATGCATACAAAGTAACCATAAAAAGTGCTTAACCACCTATTCGGGCTATCGTACTAACCATACGGGATATAATTGCGCCATTTGTGATATCGTCCGTACTTATTTATAAGAGTGATATGCAGCCGTTTGAAAATGTATGGAGATTTTAGTTTCTATTCATTATCTTCCTGATAAGCAGTTTTAAATGCAAAAAAGTGCACGAGTTCATTACTATTTGATATTTTTAATATACATAGATGAATACAATTAATTACATCATTTGTGTGGTAGTTACACCGAAAAGTCGAGAGATGTCGCCCCGCCAGTGCTGGTAAAATCATTTTTGCAGTATGGAGAATATCAGAAAATCTGCAATTTCTTACGAAATACATTTTCAATGCAAGTAAAATGTTTACGAGTACTTGTATTTGTACCATTTTAATGTACTCGGGCACTTTTCTTGTATT